GAGAATTGTATAAAGAAAGGCTTCTGATCAGATTATATGATTTATATCTATACATTCTTCTTGAACTGAAATTCCAGGACCCTATTTTTAGAACTGTGATAATTGTCTGATAATCTTTAACTAAAAACTGTTCCAATATATTCTGGGATTTAACCATTCTAGCTTGAAATATTCCAATCTAATGTTTACTTAATTGAAAGACTTATCAAATAGAATTTGTCTGTGATGCCACAGATAATAACAAAGAGAATCATAATCTCCTTTGAGATTCAAGTAAAAAGTATCGAGATATCTAAGTGGTTAATTAACCCTTAAGGATTCAATCTAATATATAAGTTAGTATTAATATATATAGACCAACTGTAAAATCTACTAACTACTGTATATCAAATATTGTCATTAGACTATTATCAACCACTGGCCCTAATTGAATATGCTATATTTTTAAAGTAGTGAGCAGGTTTAACTAGGACAAGCCATAATAGATTATTATCAATCTATATATATATATAAATATATAGTTTATATAAGATAATTGATATTATGTCAAAGAATCTAATGTTCAAGTTTAAGTTAATTCTTAATAAAAGACTTGCATCTAATATCAGTTGTAGTTAACAAAAAAATTTTTTTTGTAATATGTTTTTTAAAATAGTTCTTTTAAACTTTATTATTATTATTTTTTTGATAAACTCATACCTAACTTTATTGATTTCTAAATTAAAGTGTATATTGTGTAGAGTGCAGATATATAGATTTATATTTGGAATTAATAAAAATAATAATAAGCCAAAGTTATTTCTAAAGCTATTTTGAGACTTATTGTTCTTTCTTTTATCAAAGAAAAACTAGCATCCCTAGAACATGCTAGTGTCATAAAATGAATATAAAAGAAAAATAAAAAGAAAATTAAACAATTATATAGTGTATTGGTTCTGTTTTTTGATATGTATCTGTTTTATTCCAGTTTCCTTTGTGAAGAGGTCCAAGGGAAAAACTTTTACTAAATTTTTATAGAGATAAGGTGAAGACCAGCAAGGAAGACTTTACAGTTTTAAAGCTTGTGGAGAGGAAGTAACCAAGAAAGCCCTGGTGATATATTGATATCCATATAATTAACTTGAAAGTCTTTCAGTATATTATTAATTAAACACATTTTTATCTAAATATAGATATACCTACCCATCTATATATCTTATTTCAGATTTAATTCCTTATAAAAAGGACAACATCTAGCCTTGCGATAGACATATCTTGCTAATAACTATTGATACTAATAATCAATAAGAATTTTTCAAATATTTTGATCAGCTCATATATTATTACTAATATTTTTAGACTTGAGTTCCAATTGATGAAGCAATGTTAACCTTCCAGTCTTCCAGTTTGTAATTTTTTGAAGTTAAAACAAAAACTTTCTGAGTTACTTTGCACGCAAGCTTTATTATGAAGTATCCTTGATAACTCTGTATTTTCTCTAGTTTAGACTTTTCTGAGCAGTAGATATTAAAACCTACCTGATATACAATCAGAATATATGTGGTTCTGACTTGAAAAAAGATCAATAGAACATCTTGTGATCTTTACATACTTAGACAGACTTTTTCTTATATCCAATGATATATCAATAATGTGTTCTGTATCCATTCTCACTAATACATGTGACTTATGGTGAATTCTTTTAAACTTTATAATAAAATTTTAAAATAAACTTATTAATAAATCATTAAGTAAACTTCAATAAATAATTTTTTAGATTCTAAAAAATATATTTTAAAAAATTTTTATATTAATAAAATTTTTAATCAAATTATAATTAATTAAAATTCTTCAAAAGCAAGTGTTCCACACTGTATATAGTATAATAAATTATATACTGTACATATTATTATTTTTTTCTGTTGAAAAAAAATTCTATATAGTGTATACAGGATGCTTAATTACAATTATGCGATCAATAACATGGTGGTTTAATTTACCTTTTTTGATTTAAGCTTATCAGTTAAACGTGCTTTTACACGATTTCGTTTTCAAAAAGAGGTCAATTGGAATCAGCATTATGATGTAAATGGCACTCGGGTTTTGCATTATGTACAAGATTTCCACCCCTCAAGCTTCACAAAGATTCCGCGTGATAAAGCGGTGGATATGGGTTTCACGTTAGGAGAAAACGGGAATTTGGCGTTTTCACGTGATCTCATCGACCGGCATTGATGCATAATTCGGGCCAAAACTCGCTTGCCACCAAGTTTTTTTTTTTCTTACAAGTTCGCTAACGCAGCTCTTTTGATCCGCTTCGTACATTCACAACTAACCCCTTTCATGCCTTTATCCTATATCTATACAACTCCCCTCTCAAAAATGCCAATTTAACGACGGCGCCTTCATGTGTCAATCATAATTATTGAAGGACACGCGATTGATGCCGACCGGGGGGGGGAATGAAAATGGGACTAGTTCTTTATCAAGTATTAATTGAATCTAATGGAACGACTAGGTCATCGTAGGAATGTGGGAAAATTTGGATAGCATTTACACACATTCACCCATGTGCAAACGTTAGAATTTAGAATGTGCATGTAGATACGGCTCCTGGAGTTTGGAAGGAGCAAGTTCGATTACGTGAGACCGTAGGTAATAAAAAAAAAAAAAAAAAAAATTGATTTTTTTTTCAGAAACTTTGCAAGAAAACTCCAGAAATCATTTAGAATTCCTATTTCGACACATTGTCCTGATGGTATTATCATCGAAACCAATGAATCACATCTGTGCGCTAGCGTTCTGTGGGATCGATATAAAGTGAAGATAACGCTATTAATAGACGTAGGTACGACGTACGCACAGAGAAACTCTTTAATGTTTGAGGTCAACAAAACATCATCGCACCAAACAAAAGTGGAAGAATGTGTGTACAATGAGGACGCATAATGCAGAATGAGTGTAACGTAGATCTTATATTCATCGAGTATAGAATAGATGCTAGGCACTCGCAGAAAGGCGCACAATGCTAGTGCGGATGATGATGATGTAACCCTTTGTAACATGCTATTGAAACAATCCTATATGGGTTTAGGATGTACTGTATGTTGCATTCTTTCATCCTTTTTACACATACTGTATATAAAACTATTATCTGTCAAAAAAAGGATTTGTCATTTGTCCCGTTCCACCTACCTTCACTTTCCTGGTACCACACGAGCGAGGGTGTCAATGCGAGCGTTTCCCGCGCCACATGTTCCACGCACATATGGCAGCACGTAAAGTACGATTGGAGAATTTGCCGTCGGAGATCATGCATAATATTAATATTAACTTTTAAGGGATGTTAACATTATAATTATCATAATAAATAAAGGGCATTTGCGTGTGCTATATATTATCGATATCCATACATACATACGAAATGTACCAATCTCCGGAAAGTATTCACATCCGGTTCACCAATCCCCCAAAAGCATTTACCCTATTCTCAGTATTTGGGATTTCTTGAGCGATGGGAAACAAGGGTCGTTACCGAATTCAAAAGTGATTCAGCGTGTCGAGGAAAAAGAAGTTGTACTAATTATAATTTTCATTTGGTGAAATGCATATGCACTTGTGAAATCATGAAGCCATTTTAGAGCGTATCATAATAATAAATTTTTTTAATCAATCAAAAACAAATGATCATTATCATCTCCGCAAGTTCCCAAGTCGCATGATGCTAAAGTAAAATAAATATTTATTTATTTGATCTGATTTGATTTCAGTTTATTTTATTCCAAGCGTTTTTTCTCCCTATATGTCATCCATAAGTTGGGTAAACATTTGGTATATCATCTAGCGACAGTGGTGATAGTGGTCTCGACGATCTGTGCCACCTCTGCCTTTTCGAATAAATCCTTTTCGTTTCGGTAATCCTATTGTTTGTGGCGTAGTTTCAACCTTCTTGCTTTGTCCGTATGATATATCACATCTTTCCTTCCTTATTATCCTGAATAGATTATATCTGACAAAGCAAAAAGAAAAGAAATAAAAAATAAAACTCCTACCACACCAGCATCAAAGTCATCGGATTAGTAACACAAACGAGATTTTTCTATTTTGTTCAATCCCTTGTGTGGACGTCCCTTCGACTTACTCGCATTTCTAAACGAGACCTTCAGTGGTGCAGCCAACCGTTTTTTTAAGCAAATTTTTGTAGACCATCTCTTTGGACCCTGTTTTCCAGAGAATAAATTCACCCCGATAAAAAAGAGGACCGATACTTTTTGTCGTTAAGAGATTATTAGGTGCATAGCCGTTCAGCTCATATATAAAGGATTCGAAGAGGCTCAGTCACGCACTTTTCCGATTATTCACCTCTCGATTCGGGCCTAAATCGCTTTTGGTTTCTCGGGTGTTTACAGAGCATCTTAGATACGATATAAATGAAGAAAAATAGGTGACCAGCATAAATAAATAAATAAAACCATCCCAAGAAACAAAAGGAAATCCTTACTATACTAAAATAAAAAAAGTTTCTCGTTTTTTTTTAAGATTGTCCTTTTTTTAATGTACGATATTGTATTGTATATATTTATACGTAGATAATTTAATATAATAGATTTGATTTTTTCTGTCACTGTAGTGTTATATTCTCATCATAATCGCAATTGCTCTTTCTTTTTTGACGGCTGCAGGTTTATATTTATCTGAAAAAAACTTCGGCAAGAACGGGAAGAGTAATCCAACAATCTCCTTATTCGTTAATCTTGTGTTACTCGACTCTTGGAAGTTTTTTTTTTTTTTTTTTTTTTTTAAGGTTTGAAACTACTGAATCCATTTTGGGGCTTATTCTCTTTTTTTATTATTTATTTATTTTAATGTAAGTCTCATTCTTTGGATTATCTTCATTTTTTCCATTCCTTTACGTAATAATTGTTCCCTAAAACATAGTACGACCACAACAATTTTCTTAAAGTCAGCGGTGTCAACACTTTTTCTTTCCTGGTTTCCGCTCTCGACTCTTTTCGTAAACAATGGACGCACTTTACTTTAAAGCCGAGCGCCTCCGACTGCTATGGAACGAGTATCGTTTCGCCAATGAAGGTGTCGACAGGGATTACGGAGATCAGTCAGAGTGGGCACGAAATAAACTACAGGTATCCACTTGGACATTAAGCTTCGAGGAAATGTTTCCTCCTTTTTTTTTTTTTCTGGATGTCGGAACGCGAACGCGTGCACGATTTCCCTGCTGACTTTTCCTTATCTATCAGAATATCCTAACAGAATTTGACAAACTTATCCAAGAACAAATTCTTTGGAAATCCACGTTATCTGCTGATATAGAGGATCTGTTGGTACGTATCGATAAACCCGTAAATCCTTGAAACTGCCGGTCTTACACGTTCACCCTGACATTGCGATGATCGTTTAGGTTGAAATAGAAGAGTATTGTCAATTATTTGGCCGAAACGTCGACACGATAATACCGCACGCTGCTTCAATAAATTACGAGTTAAATGATATCACGCGAGACAGACTGAAGGCCATTCGAGATGCATTACGGGAGGTAATTTTCGTATGCCGACATCTTTGCCGATCTGTTAAATTCGAATGCATCGCTTGATAATTCATAATGTATTTTTATCGTCCGTCCTTCTTTAGGAAGTCAACACGACGCGGGATAATGTTAACAATTGGATAGCTCATCTTGCATCTTTTGTTAAAGAGCTGGAGGGCGAGTATCAAGTTCCACCGGAGGAGGTAATTTTTCTCTCCACAATCGTGTTCTTTACGATTCCGCGACTCTTTATATATATTCATGCATGCATCGTTACCTTACAAAATCGGATCGTCTAGACTTTTGTGAACGATCTGAGCGCTTCGGTCGTTCAACCGGTATGTGACCAATGCATCATTATCGTTTTTTAATTTTAAACGTAACACCATTCTGAAGAGTATTAAATTCACGTGTAGGTGTGGTTCAAATATGACGAAATGGTTCGCATTGTGGTATGTCTCCTTCTTTCACGCTCACTTTGAAACGGTTAAGTCTGTGAAATCGTTCGTTCATGTTCATTCGTCAACCATAGGCACCACTGCGCGAATCGTTTGAGGAGTTTGCAATCCAACTTCATCACTATTGGACCATGCTCAATTATACCCCCCAGGATAAGACCGATGAGGCATTATTCGAATTATTCGCTGATAGGACCAATCCCAAAGAACTCTATGAGACCTTACAAGAAACTCTGAAAACCAGAATGATGAATAATGACAGCGAGAGGGGTGAATCGGAGCTAGAACGACAAATAAGAGAGTTTGGATCACGTGAATACATATATTACAAGGTAGAACTGCCGTCAGGATTAAGATTGAATAAAGAACAATTGGAAATTCTCAAGAACAAGATGGAGACGTTTGAGAAAGATTATGTAGTTCGTAAGGGTAAACTTGACATGCTAAAGAAGGGCATCATTAATCTTTATAACGAATTAAATGTACCGGAAGAAGAAAGAGTAGAGTTAATCGATTCCCTTGACGAGGAATACCTGGAGCAGGTTTGTGTTTCTCTTTGTGTTTGCGTTAACGAACCTTCCCCCTAGTCTCATTTCGTTTCCCTATTATATCTTTTCTTCAGTTGACCCTAGAGTTCGAGCGTCTTCGAGAAATAATGCGTGTCATCATCCAAAAGGCTATCGAAGAGGTATGACTATTTGGAATTTATTATGTTAGTTGATTCTCTGTCATTCTTTGCCTACATGAACTTTCTTCCCCTTCAGTATACCGTTCAACTGGGTGAACTCTGGGATAAATGTTTGGTGCCACAATACGAGCGCGAAGCGTTCTTTGAAAACCTGCGACAACGTAAGATAATAAATAATAAGTGGTTTCCTAATCATGAGATCTCGAAAATTTTACACACATTAATTTTAAATCATTCACACAGTTGAATCTTCTGAAGAAGTATATGAGTTGCTAGCGCAAGAGATCGCTCGCCTCCAAGAACTTTACTTCAAATGTGCCAAGATCTACAAATGGATGTTGGATAGACGTGCGTTGATCGAGGTAATCAATCAATTGACGATATGAGTGAATTTTCGATCCCGCTTTGCAACTTCCTCATTTTTTTATTTATTTTTTTTTTTTTTTGCTCCCTATTCAGAAAATGATCGACTTCGAGAAAAAAGCTTCAGATCCGAAGCGACTCTTCCAAAGTTCCTTCCGACTGCTTGAAGAAGAAAAATGGAGAAAGTCGTGTTGGCCAAATCTAGTGAGAATCGAAGAACAGTTGATTAATGCCTGTGTATCATACGAAGAGGGTGAGTTTTCATGGACCTATTGAATCTACGATTCCCGGTAATTGCAATGGACTTTTTTTTCACAACGACTTTCATCATTCCAGCCGAGAGGAAACCGTTCATGCACGAGAGTAAACGTTACTTAGACACCCTGGTATGCGTCATTAAGTCGTTCTTAGTATATGCGCGAGGGCTCCAATGGATTCTCGATAACCGTTTATGTGTATTTTTGTTCGTTCGTTCGTTCGTTTCAATAGCAAGAGGAGATCTCCGAACGTATTGTAAACCAAATGTTCTTTGGTTTTGAAAAGGATGCCGCCAAGGGATCCAAAGATCAAAAACCCGCCAAGAGCAACAAAAATTCAACACAATCATCACCTAAACGACAGGATAGTAGGTCAAGTTCTAAAGTTTCAGCCAGCAGACCAGTTTCGCCCACTTTTTCGGTGAACGGCGATTATTCGTCTCGTAGGAATAGTCAACTGTATGTACCGAAGCACACACCAAGTCGACCGGTATCACCAAGTTCTCTTAGCGGCGGGTTGAGTTCTCGTAGGAATAGTCAAGCTCCAAGGCTTGCTACCAGTCGATCCGTGTCACCCTCTGGCGGTTATTCGAGAAGAAACCTCGCATCACCTGCGCGATCCCTTGCCTCATCTCGCGCAGTTTCGCCCGTGCGCTCGACTTCACCAACACCTAATAGACGTAATAGCATGTACGTGACGAGTCCCCTGGATTCTAATTCGTCATCAAATACTTCAGCTTCACGGCGGTCGTCACTATATGTGAGAGGCACGGACGAAGCGGACGTTAAAAGAGGTCACAAGATAAACAAATCGAACGACGACAAAGTTGGAATTTCTGTCACGAGCACTCAGCGTAGCAACAGTGTTTCCAGTAATTCGAGCGAATCCTCATCGGTATCATCGGTCGCCACGCCTACCACGCCCGAACCATCCTCGTATGTGGTCAACGGGCGACTGGGTGTTCCCACAGCCTCATCAAAGAATAAAACTCAATCGGAAGGAATGGAATCAACGGACAAAGACAAGAGAATCAAGAACTCACCAGCTAAGATACCGACGAGGGCATCTACGCTTAATGGGTCATCATCAGCTACTCCATCGACAAGACGAACGAACACTGCTCCACCGAAGGCACGACCGAGAAGTGTTATCGGTGGTCTTACCTCCGAGCCTTCTGCCATGCTGAAGAAGCAAACCACGAAGAGGATGTCGATGATAGTCGATAGTGGCCACTAGAAGATTTAATTAAGATTCCGACGCATGGACATGATCTTGTCTTCTTTGAGGAAGCGGACAATTTTATATTTTGGGGGTGACGTGCTATCGCATTTATGGGGGATTATGTGACAAGAACGAACACTATTTCCATTCTCGGAATATAAAAACGAACTATTTACATTATTAGATTTTAACATTTTGAATTTTCAATTCTTTAATTTCCATGGACTTTTTTTTCTCTCTTCGATCAGTATATCAATTCTCACCAGTTAAAAAAAAATAGTCACCACTTACATCCTTCGTAAACATTACCACACCAGTTGATTCTTTGGAACTTCGAGTAAAAATTTATCATATTTTATTATTTTACAATTAAAAAAAAAAAAAAAAAAAAAATGCAATCATGCGTGACATCATGTCGAGCATATAATTTTGATTTAGGAATTTCCTTTTTTGGCTCCTCATTTTTACATAGCAATTTCTAGAATCGAAAAATAAACTGTTAGAAAGTGGATTTGGTAAGCAGTGTTTTTGGAGCGTGACCGCGACAAATGCGGAGCTCGGGGTCGAATAACCAAACAGTAGATGCTAAATTAAGCCTTTCCAAAGAAATTCAATAAACTTTTTTGAGATGAAAGTTCTTCCTTTTTCTTTGCCCGCTTATTAGCGCCATTCTTGGTGCTCGGCGATTCAAGTTTAACTCTTTTAGACTTTTCATTCGTGACATTCTGCTTCGGAACAAGTTCATCCTCAGAAAATGACTCCCACTCGTACACGTCCTCGCTTACTTGAGTAACGAAAATATTAAAATTTATCATCATTATATAATCTAGACTGTCAATAATATGCCATTGGAAAATTAAAGTTAGAAACCAACCTAAAAATCCTGCCGCATTCATGTACGTTTTTTTCTTTAAAATCTTCCGCTTCCCGCGCTTTTTCGGCGATGATTCCGAAAATCGCTCGGAAGTTGGTTTGAGAGACTGATCCTGATCGATATCCATACCGTCGCTAATCAGGGAAGACGTGCGATCAATCTTCGGCATCGTTTCCATTTCATTATCTTTCGATTCACTCCTTGTATCCATGGTCGGTTCCACATCATCCACATTCACATACACATCCGCACCTACATCCACATCTACGCCCGCAACACCTACATCCACATCCATGTCTATAGTTTTCTGATCATTGGTCCCTTCTCCCGAGTCAATTTGATCTATGGAAAGTGCGCCGCTTTCAACCTTTACGTCGCCTGATCGCAATTAAAAAAGATGAAATTTAACTTGAATAAATTTGGAATGTCACACATAACACCTCAGACTGATGGCTACCAAGATCATCCAAAATAATTATCTCTTTTTTTGGTATTGACTTTGGAATTTCACGATTTACCATAGCAAGAGCAAATGCCTAATGAAAAAAATTTGATGTTTTAACATATTTATCTAAAAAATGCGATCTCGTTCCACCTGACCTTTTTTTTACCTTTGGACGACACGATTCTACACTGTATATATGTATGCTAGTTAAAACCTTGAACATTTTTTTTATTTCTTTTATAGTGAGAATGTAAAAAAAAAATGAATTCGTTATCGTGCATAACGCGCCGGCGCAAACAATATACGACTGGAACGCACCCTCCAAATCTTCTTGAAGTACCAGTTTCACGGTGTAACGTCCGTCGTCGGGAACGCCGCAAAGGCAGTAGACGGCATGAGCCGACTCCTTAGGTGCCGAAAACATAAATTCAAAGAGCATTCTAATAACAATTTGCAGAAGTTTTTAGACATATATATAGTTGTTTGCTTTCTACTGGAGAATACGCGACGTCCTGCGAGCGAAGCTTCAAACATACTGCTTAGCTTGATTCACGTGAACTCCCAATCGTCGACTAAGCCACTTGTAAGTAACCTAGGAACAAAAAAAGGCTAGAACGATCTTTGTAAGAAAAAATGAAACAATACTTCGCCTTTCCGACTTACAATTCTGTTTTCGTGAAATACATAATTCCGAATTTCCTCCAAGTAATTTGTGGATATCATGTTTATGACCAAAAAATGTCTAATGTTCTTCAAACTCTTCCTCCAACCAAGATACGACGCGAAAGAAATTTTAAGGTTTGAGTACCCTTCGCTCCTCCAAACAGCAATTTTGATTTATATATTCACATGACCAGTACGTTACACGCGGAGTTGCGTAAATTGTTATTGGCACGCGTTGTTATGAAATAGAAAAATAAGAATAAGCTTTTTAAAAAAAAAAAGATTTAAGCATATTACAGCTAAACAGTCATATCTAACTAACTTGTTATTGACATTAAAAGTCTCTAAATTTGATCTTGGAAACAATATTTCATTCCATAATGGATTTTAGGAAAAGTTCAAAACATAATAGCTAATAGGTTATTACTACTATATGTTTTATTAGGTCACTGGATAATAAGAAATTACAAAAGGAATAAATTAAAAAAAAAGAAAAAAGGAAATATATAAGCATGCTACAAGAAAAATTTTTTCAAAAATCAATTTTTTATCTTATTTTCAAATTAAAACTATAGAAATATAATCTTAACAATACAAAACACTAGTCAAAAAGAATAAAAAAAAACTCTTTCTGCAAATCCCTCAGATCCTTAGAAATTTCCTTTTTAGGCAATACACTCAAGAAAAGAGACAACATACATAATTAAAGACATATACTCTCACAATACCAATATACAAGAGACATCTTAGCACAGAACAACACTTCGTGTATAGTTTTAGTCTGGTAATCACTAAGAAAACACAACATATATCAACAATCTTGACCTTTTTCTCTTTCCTAAGAAGAAGGAAATAAATCAACATAAACTGATTCACAATCAGAAAAGGGGAGTCAATATCAACTTCACAAAGCTTGCAGCCAGGCCAGTGTAGGTTGACACCTTTCTTGACATTATAAGGAATCTCAAAACAAATAGATTTGCTCGATAAATCAAGCAAATCTCAAATCTCTCAAGACTCAGAAGGATATCAAAGCTTCCCAAGGTCTAAATAGCCTAACGTGCATACCCCATTGTCATACATATTAAAACACCTCATCAAAGTAGCGCAAACACGTACATGTGTATAAAGCTGTTGTCAAAATAAGTTTGACAAAGATCTATCACAATAGCACAACAAGAGGGACTAAA